AAGTAATAAAGGACCTTTGAAAATTTGTACTTTTAAAATACGGAGAACAGCCCAGCTGGGCGTGGCTCAGCGGTTGAGCATCGGCATAGGATCCAGGAGATCGGGGTTTGATTCCTGGTCAGGGCACAGGCCCGGGTTGCGGGCTCGATCCCCAGCAGGGGGCGCGCAGGAGGCAGCCGATCAATGACTCTCTCATCACTGATGTTTATCTCTGTCTCCCTCTCTCTTCCTCTCTCTGAAATCAATAGATATATTTTTAAAAATAATAATAAATAACATAAAATATGGAGAACATTAAAAATGTAATTATTCCCATGGGCAGATAATTTTGGAAAGGTTCAAATTATACTTTGTAATAATTTAATAAGTAAAAAAGTAAGAAGAGACTCACGTGTGGGTATTCCAAATCATCAGCCCCTGATTTGCTAGTGCACTTCATTTCACTTCTGTTGGAAATTATTGATTTTATATGAAGCCAAGCTGATAATTTCACAAGATCCAGTTGTTTGTTTTCTTTGAACACATATCCTGGTAGATGTATATTTTAGGTGAAAATAGAACTAAAATTGCTCAAGCCTTTATTTAGATCTTTAGCAGATCTTACAAATTTGGTAGCCAAGCCCGGAAATAGTTTTCCTTTGGATTAAATCTTCTGTTTTTAATGTTTTCTTCCACAATATAACTTTTTTTCATTGTCTAGTCATAATGTCAGGAAAGATGATGTGATGTTTCTTTTTTTATTAGAGGAATTATTAAATAAGAGATTATCCATTCTGCCTGCAAGTTTTCATAATACTCTGTTATTTAAACAAATAATTTATCTATTTCACAGTAAGTCTGCCCTAAAGTCATAGCATTTTTTAATCATGTTTCCAGAATAATAATCTGATGAGGTTAAATAAAAGTAGGTGCTAAACAATATTCTAAATACAAATTAAAAATGAATTATCAGTTGAAAGTAAGAATTGTTGAATTAATTTGTGAATGTGCTAGCTAAATAGAAATGTGATGTATGATATATAACTTCCCAAAGTAGAACTGATTAAAATTATTTATCAATTTTTATCTTATAACTTTAATAATAATGAACTGGAGTGCTGTTCCTGAATATAGTCATTAAGTATAATTATAAGTATAAAGGATAATTTGAGTAAAGAACTACCTCCCTCTTGGATTTCACAATGTATATTAATATATAAAACATTCTGAGAAGTTCTGTAGTATAGACATGTTCATCCTTAATTTCTAAAATACATTTAGCCACTGGGCTCCTTTCATATATAATACACTTAATTTATAAATAAATTCTGATGTCTAATCATATGGGAACAGTACTACAGATATAAGAATTTTTCTAGAAATGCTGTCTATAAATTATGCTAAAACCTCAGTTTTATGTGATAGTCAACCATCACTTATTTTCAGTTCTAATGATTTTCGTAGCGGTGACCTTTTAAGAGCACAGACGTTCATTCTCTCAAGAGTCTGTCTTACTGCTCGATAGGACTGAACGTTTCAGGGTCCATGTATCCTGTGCATTGCGTCCCAAGCTGCCAGACTTTCCTTTCACAAGTTATGTGTTTCTTATCTTCCTCTGGTGACAGATCAAAGTTCAGTTTTGGCTTGTGTGTTGTCAGTCACTGTTGTTTCTCTTGTTTATGAGTCATGACAACAGTATGGCTCATTTGCAAAAAGGTGGAATTTATCACCAGAAGTCGTGTGTTCCAGTGATCACTTACGTTTTCTTGGCTTTGTTTTATAATGTCAGGCTACTAGAGGCAGCTTTGGGGGGGCCAATCTTTATATAAATTGAAAGTAGAAAATTAAATGCTGAGCTATAGAAAGAGCCTTTGGCAAGTGAGCGGCCCTGAAACTTAAGGTTCAATAGTTTCACACTAATTCCTCCTTTAGAAAGTAATTCTTACTCTACCCACACTCAGCCATTCCTTCCATGAAACCAAGTAGACACACTCTGCACACTCCAAACCCAGAATTTGCCAACATGGTTCACAGCCTGGAATGAGATCCCTGTCTCTCATTCCGTACCCCTCCCAAAGCCCTTCTCAGCCATATACAATTTAAATTATGCCACCTTCTTAAAGTTTTACCAGGTCCTGTAGTAGAAATGAATTTTCCCTTCTCTTTTATTGCATCCCATGGGGTTTCCTATTACACATTTTTGCTTTGTAATTTACTTATACCTCTGTGTTCTGTCTTCCATAGAATAAAAGTTCCTTAAGAATAGGGGCACTAGTTTTGTTCTCACTATGTGGAATTGGGTAGTAGGTGCAATACTTGTTTCTTGAATTGAATTAATAAACTAAATACTATTAATATACAAATAAGATTAGGTATCTGTTTTGTGTCATAAATGTACATTTGCAGATGCTGTGATTTTTAAATCCTGATTTAAGAGGTAATATGGTTGTTTAAAGGGAGTTTGCTATTTTCTAGGTGTGTTACCTTGGACAAGTCAATATCTCTACCCTCATTTGTAATGAGGATGATAGGTGCTTACTTTGACCAGGTGATTAAATGAATTTATGTGCATCGTTGGTCCATAAGCTCATGCAAACATCTGCTTGGGTGATGAGGGTAATGATGATGATTTCCTTCAGTGCCCTTCTGTTTCCCCTCTAGTGTAAGTGGCTAAAGGAATACCCTTGTCTTCTCTGCTGTGTAGACCTTGAGTGTTGACCAGATGAAGGACTTTTCAAAGCATGTAGACGGATACTGCTACAGATGTCTTATTTGGGCCCTCTGCTCTTTCTGACTGTCCTGTTTAGCTTTCTGCCATCAGGTTCTTTTTCTGATTTCCTCTGTGGCTATTCAAGTTTAATCAGTTTCCTTCAAACTCCTCCTGGACCCTCTCCTCTCTCACTCTTTAAAAACAAATAAGTAATGACACTGACAACCTATGACTAAATATCTGTGCAAACAACTTGAACAGGTGTTTTTACCTATAAGATCACATCTGATCTCTTTACCAAAACTGATGTAGTTGTCTACCACAGACACGAGAATTTTTCCAGATATGCTGCCTCGAAATTATGACAGTGCTTCGTTGCCGGTTTGCCTTTATCATCCTCAGTTTAGAGAGGAGAAATTAAGGCTCAGAAAGGTTTGGTGTTTTCCCAGGTGGTAAGGCAGAGCCCTGAGATTTAAACCCAGATTTCCCTCACCACTGTCGGTTCCGATTCCCAGGGAGCATCAGTTAAGAAGCATCCCGGCTCCTGCCTGTTCACATCCAAAATGACCTTTTATGTCCTACCTTTGGCTTCTGAGAAAGTAGCAGCTCTCATCCTGTCAATATTTTCCATTGATTATCGATCATTGCTCTTCATGCCGTTTCCTCTTGCTTCCCACAGGATTTTTCTAATCAGCTACCTCCTTGCATTTTACAAAACGCTTCATCCATTGGCGCCTTTCACATAACCTCATTATGAGTTTCAGTCTCCTTGACCTAAATGTGATTATATGGAGAGACAAAATTATTGACATAATTTTTCAGGAGGCTTCGTCAAGTTTCAGCCCTTGAAAACCGTATTTCTGCCCTCGCCAGCCACTGACTCTGTCCGACGTACAGAGCTCATCGAGCAGCTGATGTGAACTGATTGGCGCTTGTCTCATTTGACCTGTCTCAAAATTGTCACCATTGGCCTCTCCCTTGGCATCGCACTCCCATGGCCCTTCACTTGAGTGGCACGCCCTCCCTTCCCTGGCTCTTCTTCTTTTCCTTCTCGTAGACTGTTCCTTCTTTCTTTGCCTTAAACTCCTGTGTTCTCCATGATCCCTTCCTGGCCCCCCCTTGCTCCTTCCCTCCCATGGCTGTGTCCCCTCAAATAAATCCCAGCTGTACAAGCGCGCACCACTTTTATGAAAACACCCCCCCGGGTACGTAGATACGTGTGGATTGATTACTAAAGTACAAAATCATTTCAAAGTATTACTGAACTTATAGTAGCATTGTCTCATCAGGAATTTCCTTAATTATTACATTAAATATTAGTCGTAAAACTGTTGTCTGTGATTCCAATCAATTTTAAATTTTAAACTTTATCTTCATATTGAAAATACTGGGAACTTTCCATTTAGGGCATGAGCTTATTTAAAGACCTCACTCCCACCTACGTTTCTAGTTATATTTCTGCCCATGTGCTTTCATTCTTTATGTGTTATTTCTGGTCTTCTAAACTCTCCGTGCTGTTCAGTGCCTCTGCCCTGCACCTTATTTTCACTCAATTAGGAATGCTTTCGTTTTCCAAATTTCCACCCCCTCGCATATCCAGTGTGCCGTTTAGGATGCTTAGATACAAAGCACGCTGTAGGATTGGACCCTCTCCTAAACCTGGCTCAGAGGTGTGTAAGTCAGGTACTCACATACTTTTGAATAGAACTTGATGAAAATTACCTTTACTCAATAAAGTATAGAACTGTTTTATAGTTATTTAAAGTTCAAAAATCAATCTCTGCAGGAAGGTATTAAGTATCTGTCAGACCGAAAGCACAACCAGCTGTGGCATTTAACTTCCCTTTCCCACTTCCATAGTTTCCCTGAAATTTAACTGCAACAGGGCACAGAATGAATGAATAGAGGCCACTCTTAAGGAATGTTGTCCATGCAGCTTTCTCATTATATCTTATCCCTGCCACAGTTAGCTCTTCTCTAAGGGTTTAACATCGTATCTTTAGCCAGATGTGAGTGTTGATTCAAAGGTAAAAGAATACCAGTTTTACATATTAGATATAGATATTTTGTTCACTACCACTGATTCAAAAGGATAATATCGTTTTCATAATAACCCTGTTGGAAGAGAAATAAGTCATTTGATTTTTGATAACTTTTTGGAAAGTAAAAACAACTTTATCTTCATTTTAAAAGAGGCTACATTGCAGCAGTGGGTTAGGACAGTTCCTGAATTCTATCTTCTTGGCAAGCAAGTTGTTTGTTGCAGTAACTTGCATAAGCATGCTGACTGTCAGTGCTGTCCTTCCAACAGAAAATCCAGTCGGATTTGACAAGTCATGAGATCAGTTTAGAAGAAATGAAGAAACACAACCAGGGAAAGGAGGCCGCCCAAAGGGTACTATCCCAAATCGATGTGGCACAGGTACATATTATTGTAAAAACTAAGTAACTTGTTTTAGTTTGGTATTAAAACATAGCCTGTGTTAGACAACTAGATTTTAGCAAAATTGGATTTGAGGGCATTATTTGAAAACTCCAATATGTTTTATAAATGATAAAGACCTTTTGGGTTGTATATTTTAAGGATAAAATAGGTTTTAAAATTACCTTTTATTATATTATAACATTTGGTAAATTCTCCTAAATGCACATATTTTTTGTGCTGGACAAATGGAAAAAAGCAAATACTTTGTACTTTTTTTCTTGTTTATAACAATAAATAATTTTAATAAAAATTAAAATATTACTGCTTATTCTTTGGAAGGCAAAATTAAATTGGTGCTTTCTTACGTGATCTTTACAGAAAAAATTGCAAGATGTTTCCATGAAGTTTCGGTTATTCCAGAAGCCAGCCAATTTTGAGCAGCGTCTACAGGAAAGTAAGATGATTTTAGATGAAGTGAAGATGCACTTGCCTGCATTGGAAATGAAGAGCGTTGAACAGGAAGTAGTACAGTCACAGCTAAATCATTGTGTGGTACGTATTTCTGGTGCAAAATACGCAGCTAACCCTTGACTTTCCTTATTAAGAGGTATTTGATGATACTCTTTTATAGCAGGAAATTGTTTTAAGATAAGTATAAAATTAACTGTATAATTTTGAGATTAAGGACAAAAGTTAGCACAGGTGTATTGAGAGACAAGAACTTTTATTGAAGTAGTAGCCATTTAACACCTCTTCTATGGGTGTCTTTTTTGAGTCTAAAATTCTCTAAGGATTGTGCAGAACATAAAAGAACATCTTCATTGTTTAATTCTTTTGGTACTTTGAATATATTTTTAAATGGAAATACTGAAAAGAAACACAGTAAGTCCTCACTTACCATCGTCAATAGGTTCTGCAACTTTAAGCAAATCAAAGTGTAACAAAACTAATTTTACCATAGGCTAATTGACAAAAACAAGAGTTAAGTTCCTCGGCATCTCATCAACATTACAATGAAATAACTTTGAATGAAATGACATTATTCGAGGACCTGCTGTGTATTAGTCTGGAAACAGCAAAAACAATAGTTGCGGTAATAAAATAACATGCTAGGTATGTGTACCAAGTAAACTTAGTGATCTGCACAAGTCACCTCTAATTCTCAAGGCCGCAGATTAAATGAGAGTAAAGACACTGGTAAAGGGCAAAAGCAAGATTTCAGTCCAGGCCCTCTTACTCTGAACCCTAATATCTTTCTATTAAATGCAGTGCTAGATTTATACTGAAATGCTGCCACACCACAAACACAGAGTCGAAAGGCAGAGGGGATCATTAGCCTGTAGCGTAATTCTTCACTGGACTTTGGGATTTCAAGCAGTGCCCTTTGTTGCAGTTGTTGGAAATTCCCCAGGTCAGGTGACTCCTCTGACAGCATAAAGCTGAATTAATGAGGACGTCTACTAGAGTAATAGAATTATTATTCTAACTATGTATGTTCTATGGACTATTAGGATAGAAATCACATAAAATAAACACTTAAGGTTATTACATTAAAGGGAAAATGTTATCTATTTAGTATTTTATGTTTTAAGGATTGTTTCTGCATCTACTTCATACCATAAATGAAAAAGAGACTCTTTAGCCCGGCCGGTGTGGCTCAGTGGTTGAGCATCGACCTAGGATCTAGGAGATCGCGGTTTGATTCCGGGTCAGGGCACAGGCCCGGGTTGCGGGCTTGATCCCCAGCAGGGGGCGTGCGGGAGGCAGCTGATCAATGACTCTCTCATCACTGATGTTTCTATCTCTCTCTCTCCCTTCCTCTCTCTGAAATCAATAAAAGTACATTTAAAAAAAAAAAGAAAAAGAGACCCTTTAGTGCATTTCAGCTATATTATTATGATTGGGAAAATATATTTTTAACAAAAAGTTTTATATATTGTAAAAAATTATTTGGTATTTTTTATTTGATAACACTTTTTCATAATGCAGACTACATTTTAGTGACATAATTATTATAAGTATTCTTAACCCCAAAAGAAATTTTGGATATAAATATATCTATTTGTTAGGTGATATTAGATGAGTAATGTTAGAAATACATGGGAACACATGTCATCTTAAATATTGTGCGAAAAATTAAAGGCAAAATGACCCAAGTACACTGTTGTTACTACTAAATATATTTGCAAAGGGAGAGCTGTTTATTTTCGTCTAGGAACAGATCTCTAACGGTACCTCCTAAAATTTGTCTGCTATTAAGTATGAGCTGAAAACAACCTCCCTGTGCCCAGCTGCAGTGACTGTGCCCTCACTTCAGTGCACAGGAAAGGGCTCAGGGTGCTCGCTCAATTTATTTCTGGATCTGGTTTAAATGTCAGGACCAATTCAAGTAGTCCTTCCATAAGGATATTTTTTCTTTACAACTTTTATATTTTTTCAACACTTAAGATGCTCTATTGCATATACTATAATCATGGCCTTTGCCTTCAAGAGATTCTGATTCTATTTTTAAAAGTCTTACCTATATCAACACAAATGAATAGAAAGAGTATTTTCCGAAAATAGTGATATTTTCTCTGCCTATTGAGTGACATGATGTTAATGAATAATAACTGCTTTTAATGAGATTCCATCATTAAGGTAAATTATTAAGATTTTTTAAAATTTGAAGAATAAATCATTTGGAAGTACCTCTGATTCCAAAATTCATAGAGTTGATTCCCAGCATGATAATGAACAATTTGAATGTTTCTAAATACCCAGATACGTTTATAATTTCCCAGAGAAATAAAGTAATAAAAGTAAATCATCTGGAAAGCTCAAACAGAACTTAAAATTATTACTAAAGGAATATTGATATCAGACGATCATCCGAGGGGATTAAGATGGAAATAGATTATGTGTATAGCCTTAATGAATAAAATAAGTGCTCAGCCTTTACAAAATGTTTTGTTTTTGACATTGATTTTAAACTGAAAAGAGAAAACAAACCCAATTTTTGTTCTAATTCCAAAAAACAACAATCACTTACTAGCACTTTTATTTCTTAGTACCACTGAAATAAGTAGTTGTCATGCAGGTTTACCCACTGACCACATTAAAGCACTGATGTACAACGTAAACTGTGATATATGCATGTATGCATAGACACACATCTACATAATGTTTATGCGTGCATAAGAACACACATACCTTTCAGGAAAATAACTACAAGGCAAAGTTACAACACTTGTTCCACAAGGCTTTGTTATCGCAATATACTTTGTGAAGCAGTGTATGTGTTCTTTGTGGTTGTGACATACAAGTGAGTTTCAAGTAATATATTTCTATCTGTCTAAATTTCATTGATCAGCTCCATTAAGAAAATGGGTTTGTATAATCTAATCAACATATGGAAAATTTCCTTCCTTCTATGTGATTTAATATATCGAAAGTATGAATTGGAAATTTAGATGTTTTATCCCCACTAAAATGCAAGCACCATGAGAACAGCAGTGAACGGGTCTGTCTTGGCTCCACTGATGCTCTCGTCACTCAAATTCTGTCTAGAACATAGTAAGCGCTCAATAAATACCTGGCGAGTGAGTCAATGAATTCTCCCGAACTCGCAACTAGAATTATATAACTATAACAACATTTAAAATATTGTATACCAACTATGCTTAAATGAAAAATAAAATAAAAAATATAAATCAATAACATTTAGAAATGATCTTTATAAATTTGGACCGCCCGGCCGGGCGTGGCTCAGCGGTTGAGCGTCGACCTGGGATCCAGGCGATCGGGGTTCGATTCCCGTTCAGGGCACATGCCCGGGTTGTGGGCTCGATCAATGACTCTCTCATCATTGATGTTTCTCTCTCTCTCTCCCTCTCCTTTCCTCTCTCTGAAATCAATAAAGGTATATTTAAAAAAACAAACAAACAAAAAACAAAATAAACTTGGACCAAAGAACTAAATATACGTATTATGTACTCTTGCTTTAGTAAGAGTAACTACAAACTGTGCGTGTCTGTATGCGTGTATGTTATTACAAATAGAAACTTTAAATCAACAGGAAATAAAAAAGCCAGATGCTGATCACAGCCGCAAAACACTGCCCCGTTAAAAGTATAAACATGAAATCGCAATTAAGGTGATCTCTGCCCCTATTTCTTTGTATTAATGATAGTATGAGTTCGATACTGTTGCCTATAATTATGTTTTATGTTTTAACTTAGAACTTGTATAAGAGTCTGAGTGAAGTGAAGTCTGAGGTGGAGATGGTGATAAAAACTGGACGTCAGATCGTACAGAAGAAACAGACGGAAAACCCTAAAGAGCTGGATGAACGAATAACAGCTTTGAAATTGCATTATAATGAGCTGGGAGCAAAGGTACGTGCACTGAAACCACGGGCACTGGCTTCTTCCCACTTGTCTTATAAACTGTAAAGCAAGAGGCAGGAATCCTGTACAATAAATGTCTTAGGAAGTCTTAATAACTTTCAGTAGATTGATACATACACATATACATTCATATGCATATACAGAGACTGAGATAGATCCCCATGTGCAATTCTTATTAAGAAACAATAACTAATCAATGAGAATCTTCTTCTAGTCTGCATTTAAAAATATTTCAAGCTGCCCGGTCAGCGTGGCTCAGAGGTTGAGCGTCGACCTAGGATCCAGGAGATCACGGTTCGATTCCCGGTCAGGGCACAGGCCGGGGTTGCGGGCTCCATCCCCAGCAGGGGGCGTGCAGGAGGCAGCCGATCAATGACTCTCTCATCATTGATGCTTCTCTCTCTCTCCCTCTTGCTAAAATCAATAAGGATACTTAAAAATATATGTATATATTTAAAGCTTAGGGAGATTGTTATTGGTCCATCAGATGGTTCTAAAAGGGTTTCATTGGTCTCCACTTGCTTTTTTTCATTGTATAAATATACATGTGCTGATTCAAAGCCTGGTAAATTCTATAAACTATTGTACCTACTTATATTTAGGGACAGTGGAGCTGACGTATTCCACATAGATCACATTAGGTGTAATAGAGCTGGCACATTCCTCGGACAGTATTTCCCTGTGTGGCAAGCGTTGCATAATCCACTGGATTTGCCTAATAAGAGAGCATTGATAGCCAGTTAAGTCCTACGTTCCGTGATTATTTTTATATTTTTGTCCTGATCAGGGTCTAATGCCAAGTCCATTTCACTGTTAAAGATGTTTGCCTCCCGAATGCCTAGTACAGTTCTCTCACTTCTCTCAAATTTAGAGTTTTGATGGTTCAAAATAATGATAGTTCATAAAAAGTATTCATAGAAACATACATTGTCAACATCAGGGACTGAAATGGCCTTTGCTCTGCCATTATTGTAATTACTCTAAGCTACCTAAAAGATTTTTGGTGCTCAGCTAAAAAATTCAAGTGACATTTTGCACTTAGTAAAATCATTAAAGCAAAATGAAACATTACTAAGAAACATCCTTAGCTTTAATATCATGACAGAATGCAGCAAAAATGTAGGGCAGAAATTTATTTTCAGAATAAAGATTTAGAAATACAGATGATAAAGGGAATATTTATAAATGTCACCTTATAAAAATGCTGTAGTATTCCTTCTAAAGCAAAGTCATCTGCATTTAAATCTTCCAGGCTCCTTTAACAACAGTGGTTTTGTTTAATAAAATCAGAGGAAACAAAGGTTATCTGAGTATATTATTCTTTTTATATCTAAAAAGACAAACCCTTCCACTTTAATCATCTTCAGAATTTATATGGTTGTACTTGCTCAAGTCAATATGTGTTACTTTTTTATATTAGTCACCTCCGGGTGCCATAACAAAATGCCGTAGGGGAGATGACTTAAACAACACAAATATATTTCTCTCAGCTCTGGAGGCTGGAAATTCAAGATCAAGCCTAGTGAGGACTGTCTTCCTGGCTTGTAGTAGCAGCCTACTCATTGTGTCCTCA